TTTTGCTTTTGTTTCTAATATTCTGGGATGTGGGTCATAGAGGATCCTGCTGTGATTTATGTCGGAGAGTGTTTTGCCTATGTTCTCCTCTAGGAGTTTTATAGTTTCTGGTCTTACATTTAGATCTTTAATCCATTTTGAGTTTATTTTTGTGTATGGTGTTAGAAAGTGTTCTAGTTTCATTCTTTTACAGGTGGTTGACCAGTTTTCCCAGCACCACTTGTTAAAGAGGTTGTCTTTTTTCCATTGTATATCCTTGCCTCCTTTGTCAAAGATAAGGTGACCATAGGTTCGTGGATTTATCTCTGGGCTTTCTATTCTGTTCCATTGATCTATATTTCTGTCTTTGTGCCAGTACCATACTGTCTTGATGACTGTGGCTTTGTAGTATAGTCTGAAGTCAGGCAGATTGATTCCTCCAGTTCCATTCTTCTTTCTCAGGATTACTTTGGCTATTCGAGGTTTTTTGTATTTCCATACAAATTGTGAAATTATTCGTTCTAGTTCTGTGAAAAATACCGTTGGTAGTTTGATAGGGATTGCATTGAATCTATAGTTTGCTTTGGGTAGTATAGCCATTTTGACAATATTGATTCTTCCAATCCATGAACACGGTATATTTCTCCATCTGTTTGTGTCCTCTTTGATTTCTTTCATCAGTGTTTTATAGTTTTCTATGTATAGGTCTTTTGTTTCTTTAGGTAGATATACTCCTAAGTATTTTATTCTTTTTGTTGCAATGGTGAATGGTATTGTTTCCTTAATTTCTCTTTCTGTTTTCTCATTGTTAGTGTATAGGAATGCAAGAGATTTCTGTGTGTTAATTTTATATCCTGCAACTTTACTGTATTCGTTGATTAGCTCTAGTAATTTTCTGGTAGAGTCTTTAGGATTTTCTATGTAGAGGATCATGTCATCTGCAAACAGCGAGAGTTTCACTTCTTCTTTTCCTATCTGGATTCCTTTTACTTCTTTTTCTGCTCTGATTGCTGTGGCCAACACTTCCAAAACTATGTTGAATAGTAGTAAACCTATGTTATTTCAATGATTGTCCTCACCAGAAATGAAAGTTATACTCAAAAAGCATTTAGCTGAAGAGATCTGAATGAAGGAGCTGAGGAAAGTGTGATCAGGTTCCTGGAACCAGAGAGGGGAAGTGTGGCCCCCAGGGATCAGCAACAGTGGGGACCCCGTGGCTTGAAGGGCAGAGACCATTGAGGAGTACACATAGAAGGGGCTGACCGACGGGAGCTGCGTCAGATGCAGGGTTCAGTGGACTACAGCCCATGGGCCAAATCTGACCTGCCACCTGTTTCTGTAAGTAAAGTTTAGGGGAACATAGGCATGCTTATTCATTTACATAATCCATAGCTGCTTTAGATTGCGATGGCAGGGTTGTGGTGATCAAGACCATATTGCCCACAAAACCTAAAATACTCTGGCTCAAATGTACTGAACTCACCTCCCCCAAATTTCACATACTGAAGTCCTAAATCCCACTACCTCAGTATGTAACTGTATCCAGAGAGAGTGCTTTTAAAGAAATAAGTTAAAATGGTCATTAGGTCATTAGTCAGTCAGCCAGTTCAGTCGCTCAGTCGTGTCTGACTCTTTGTGACCCCATGAATCGCAGCACGCCAGGCCTCCCTGTCCATCATCAACTCCCGGAATCCACCTAAATCCATGTCCATTGAGTCGGTGATGCCATCCAGCCATCTCATCCTCTATCGTCCCCTTCTCCTCCTGCCCCCAATTCCTTCCAGCATCATGGTCTTTTCCAACGAATCAGCTCTTTTGCATGAGGTGGCCAAAGTATTGGAGTTTCAGTCTCAGCATCAGTCCTTCCAAAGAACACCCAGGACTTATCTCCTTTAGGTCATTAGGTTAGGCCTAATCCAGTATCCAACAAAGGTCCATCTAGTCAAAGCTATGGTTTTTCCAGTAGTCATGTATGGATGTGAGAGTTGGACCATAAAGAAGGCTGAGTACTGAAGAATTGATGCTTTTGAACTGTGGTGTTGGAGAAGACTCTTGAGAGTCCTTTGGATTGCAAGGAGATCCAACCAGTCCATCCTAAAGGAAATCAGTCCTGAATATTCATTGGAAGGACCGATGCTGAAGCTGAAGCTCCAATACTTGGGCTACCTGATGCAAAGAGCTGACTCATTGGAAAAGACCCTGATGCTGGGCAAGATTGAAGGCAGGAGGAGAAGGGGACAACAGAGGATGAGATGGTTGGATGGCATCACTGACTCAATGGTAATGAGTTTGAGCAAGCTCTGGGAGTTGTTGATGGACAGGGAGGCCTGGTGTGCTGCAGTCCATGGGGTTGTAAAGAGTCACACACAACTGAGCGACTAGACTGAACTGAATGCAATATGACTGGTGTCCTTACGAGGAGAGGAAAGAAGGATACCCAAAGGTACAGAGGGAAGACTGTACTCCCTGTGAAGACACAGGGAGAAGGCAGCTATCTGCAAACCAGGGAAAGAGGCCTCAGAAGAAACCCACCCTGCCAACACCTTGATCTAGCTTCCCAGAACTGTGAGAAAGAGGTTTTTGTTGTTTAAGCTGCCTGGTCTTTGTTACAGCATTTATTACGGCAGCCCTAGCTGACTATTACCACTGCTATAGCAGAACAGAGCTATTAGAATCTCAGGACGGCAGTGAGGAAGCGAGGGGGGATAAACACCCTCACTGCTCTCTCCTACCTCTGCTCATCTGCTGTGGTGACCCCCACTGGATGAACCCAGCCAGAAACCAGCCGACCATGCAAGTCTAGGCGATCGTCTATCAAGACTGGCCTTAAAGGCACAGAGCAAGGCAAAGGAGAACAGAGAATAGAACTAGGGGCAAAAAGTTGGATAACCAGAGAAGTGAGTGAAAGTTGCTCAGTTGTGTCCGATGCTTTGCGACCTCATGGACTGTAGCCTGCCAGGCTCTTCTGTCCGTGGAATTCTCCAGGCCAGAATACCAGAGCGGGTACCCATTCCCTTCTGCAAGGAATCTTCCCAACTCAGGGATCGAACCCAGGTCTCCTGCACTGCAGGCAGATTCTTTACCATCTGAGCCACCAGGGAAGCCCAAGAATACTGGAGTGGGGAGCTTATCCCTTCTCCTGGGGATCTTCCTGACCCAGGAATCGAACCAGGGTCTTCTGTGTTGCAGGCAGATTCTTTACCAGCTGAGCTACCAAGGAAACCCAGTGTATACTTGAAAAAATAGAGAGAATGGTGTTGTAATAAACCCCCATGTGCCAATCACTCAACTTCAACAATTACCAACATATTCCTTTATGGTTTCATTTCTAGCTTCCCCTTTTTTTCTGGAGTATTGAAAGAAAATCTCAGGAATGTATAGGGCAATATGCATTTATACACGGCTTCCCCAGTAGCTCAGTGGTAAAGAAACTGTCTGCAATGCATGATGGAGAAGGCAATGGCAACCCACTCCAGTACTCTTGCCTGGAAAATCCCATGGATGGAGGAGCCTGGTAGGCTGCAGTCCATGGAGTCGCTAGGAGTCGGACGCTACTGAGCGACTTCACTTTCACTTTTCACTTTCATGCATTGGAGAAGGAAATGGCAACCCACTCCAGTGTTCTTGCCTGGAGAATCCCAGGGACGGGGGAGCCTGGTGGGCTGCCGTCTATGGGGTCGCACAGAGTTGGACACAACTGAAGCGACTTAGATGCAGCAGCAATGCATGACCTGCAAGAGACACGGGACACAGATTTGAGCCCTGGGTTGGGAAGATCCCCTGGAGGAGGGCATGGCAACCCAGTTTAGTATTCTTTTTTAAAAAATATTTATTTATTATTTGTTGGGCTGCATCAGATCCTAGTTGTGGCAGTACGTGGTCTCAGTAGCCCCATGGCATGTGGGATCTTAGTTCCCTGACCAGGGATCAAACCCGCATCTGCTGCATTAGGTGGTAAATTATATTCTTAACCACTGGACCACCAGGGAAGTCCCCCACTCCAGTATTCTTTCCTGGAGAATCCCACGGACAGAGGAGCCTTGTGGGCTACAGTCCATAGGGTTGCAAAGAATCAGACACGACCAAAGCAACTTAGCACACACACATGCATGCATTTATACTAGATAATAACTTTAAAAAACATGACAGCATGTCTTATTATAGCTAATAAAATGAACAAAAACCCCTTAACAGCACCATCTCATCCTAGTCTATACTCAAACTGCCCCATTGTTTATGTCTTTTTTTTTTTAACATTAAAATTTTGGTTTATTTGCTTTGGATCTTTTTTTTTTCTTTAAAAAATATATCTATTTTTTTTCTGTTTCACAATTGATAATATACATGTTTCAATGCTATTCTCTCAGATTATCCCCCCTCCCCATTGTTTCAAAAATATCTTTCAATACTTAGCTCATTCCAATAAAAAGCTAAAATTCAGGCATCACAATTATTTTTTGGAAAAATTGGGTTATTTGTCTTGTAGTAGAATCTCTCACATTTTGGGCTTATCTGATCACATCTTTATGTTATTATTTAATTTGTTCCCATGTTCCCTGAATTTCCTGTAAGCTGATCATTAGATTCAAAGGTTCAATTTGGTTCAGGCTTCCTATTCACAGGGGGCTGCCTATTGTATCACATCACAAGAAGAGAATATCTGCTTCACTCATTCTCTGTGATGTTGAGAATGATCACTGGTTTCATTCATGTCAGCCTCATCTTTCCACTGTCGAGTTCCCTATCAACCTTTTATCTAATTATGTTGGTGTTTATTGATAATCACTGCCAAATCTATTATTTTATTCCAGTTTGCAAACTGGGGAAGTATTAGGGGTTTTCCAAAGAAACAGAACCAACAGGGTTCTGTAAAGGGATTCATTATGGAGACTGGCTCACGAGATCATGGATGTTGAGAAATCCACGCCTTCCCATCCACAAGCTGGACATCAAGAGAGCCTGCAGTGTCATTCAATCTGAGTCCAAAAGCCTGAGACCCATGGGAGCCTATGATGTAAATCTCAATCTGAGGGCAAGAGAAAATCAATGTCCCAGCTCAAGTAGTTAGGCAGAAGAAGCAATGAATTCTTCCTTCCTCTGTTTTTTGTTTTTTTAATGGTTGTTGTTCTATTCAGACCCTTAATGAATTGGATGATTATTTTGGGGGGCTCCAAAATCACTGCAGATGGTGACTGCAGCCACGAAATTAAAAAATGCTTGCTCTTTGGAAGAAAAGTTATGACCAACCTAGATAGCATATTAAAAAGCAGAGACATTACTTTCCCAACAAAGGTGTGTCTAGTCAAAGCTATGGTTTTTCCAGTAGTCATGTATGGATGTGAGAGTTGGAGTATAAAGAAAGCTGAGTGCCCAAGAGTTGCTGCTTTTGAACTGTGGTGCTGTAGAAGAATCTTGAATCCCTTGGACTGCAAGGAGATCCAACCAGTCAATCCTAAAGGAAATCAGTCCTAAATATCCGTTGGAAGGACAGATGCTAAAGCTGGAGCTCCAATGCTTTGGCCACCTAATGCAAAGAACTGACTCATTGGAAAAGACCCTGACATTGGGAAAAGATTGAATACAGAAGGAGAAGGGGACACGACAGAGGATGAGATGGTTGGAAGGCATCACCAACTCTATGGACATGAGTTTGAGCAAGCTCTGGGAGTTGGTGATGGACAGAAAGCCTGGTGTGCTGCAGGCCATGGGATCGCAAAGTCAGACATGACTGAGCAACTGAACTGATGCTTACTTACTCTGGGGAGGTTGATCTGCTTTACTCAGCCTACTGATTCAAATGTTAATCTCATCCAGAAACATCCTCACAGACATACACAGAAATAATGTTTAGCCCAGTCTTTGGACACCCCATGGCCTGGTCAAGTTGACACATAAAATTAATCATCACTGGTTATTTTATAAATCTATTATTCCTCCTGCATTTATTAGGTAAAATTCTTTTATTCAATGTCTCTATCACCATCCACCACTATCTAAGGGCTGACAAAATGTCTAATCTCTCTTTATAGAACCCTATACTACATATACTACATCGAACCAAAGAACACATTTCATAATACTACCAAGCAGGTGTGACCCACTGGCCTCAAATCAAAGATGCAGTTTTCATGTCCCTCATCCCTTTATCAGGGATGACCAGCCTGATAAAAATGGTGGAATGGCTTAGTTAAATGTCAGCTAAAAGGCCAGATCAAGCAGGTTAGGACACTGGTATATGGACTGTAGTCTTTTTCCTTCCCAGTCCCTGACCAATAAGTTGGGCCATTCACTACTGATGAGGAGTTAACATTTGCACACACATTAAGCCAACTGCTGGTAGCTTTGGCTGCCTGGAGGGGTTCTTTCACCATGATTTCTGGGGGCATCTCTAAGTGGGGTTTTAATGTGGCACCCACCCATTTTTGGCTAGAATCAACATTCTATTCATGATTCTAGAGCCAAGTCAAGTCCTATTGTATGACTCAGAGGAATGAGAATTTCCTATGAGGTTTGAAGCCAAAAAGCCATAAAGTGCTCCCCCACTTGTCCAGGCAGTAGTATAAACTTCCCTGACACTTAGGCTATATGACCTAGCAGCACTGATAGTAATAGAGGTAACTATGGCAGATAATGATGCCATGGGGTTTTAAATAAACTTCAGTAAGAGAGATGCAGTACAGACTCTCAGGGTTCTGCAACGAGGCCATGCCTTGATTCTTGGCTCTACCTATGACTAATGCCTGACCATGGGACACCAAGTGACTAGGCAACCACAAATGTTCCCTCTGATCTGAGTATTATCGGAGCCAATAAGTCATAAGGTTGGGTGGATACAGAAGTAATCTCCTGTATGGTAAAAATGATACATTCGGGATTCAGCCTGACCACATCCAGATGGCTCGAGTGAATGACATGAACAGGTGGTCTAGACTCCCACAGCACCTACCCTTTTTGCTCCAATACGGCTCTCAACAGAGGAACAATAGGGGAAGTTTATTGCTTTCCTAGCCATGTAAAAGAGAACTGCTTTCACCTTCCTGTTATTAAGAATGAAGGGAAAAATAATTCACCCTATCAACAGCCACATATCAAATATCAGAAATATCACAACTGCCAAGGCAGCTGGGCTGCAGTTGCGGCCACCTGATTAAGCTCAGTCATTTCCCACCACCATTCTCCGAGAAGAGTCTGGCTCTTGAAAAGGGTGGAAAAGTGAATTAAATAGCAGTGTGATGGAAGCTACTGCCCCTGCATCTTTTAAGTCTTCAACAGTAGCACTCTTTTCGGTAATTCCAAGCAAAGTGTCCTTTTGTTTCTGATTCACTGTCTTGACCAGGACAAAAGATAGCTTCCAGATGGCCTTTCCTATGAAAATGGCTTTTACTGCCCCACCCCACCCCCCATCAGCCAGGGAGCCAATGTGAAGGATCTCTTAAAGATATTTGTCCCAATTATGCATTCTAACCAAAGTTATCATTGGGAACCAGACAAATAAACAAGGAGTGGATCCACAGACATTCAACCCAAGGTACTATATTACCCTGGCAAAAGGCAATGGGTCTCTTTGGGGAAAGATTGGAAAACTACTTCCAGTATATACTCAAATTGGCATTACAGGGTTCTTCTTTAACAGGACCCAATTCCTCGTCTATGGCCTAAGGTTGTGTGACTCTGACTTAGATCCACAAGTGGATGAAGGACAGGTATCAACCCTTTGCTCTCCAGCTATGGGTACTTTTCATTATGAGCAACACTCTTGCCATCTTCCTAACCACTATGGACACTGAAGTGTCCTAGCCAATGCCACAGATCCCTGCAGGTCAAGGTGCCCTGAATGCCACGCTGGACTTCTGCCAATTTTACTAATCAGGCCTCTTGCCCTGGTGTCAGGTGCTGCCACATGTGTTTGTTTTGCCATTCCAGAATCCCACCTTTCCTACTGATATTAGAAAGTCTAATAACATCCCTTACTGTCAGCCTGGCCTTCAAAGATGCCAGTGCCCCTCTCACTTGTGAAATCCCTGTTGCCTTGGTGAATGAGCCATTGTCTGTGTCCTCCGGGAGCACAGTCTGGCAATGAGCTTTCAGTAGTCTTACATCATAAATCCTTTCTACAATTAACCATTTCCTGAATCGTTTGGCTTCTTCAATATTCTGCGAAGGCAGTTCTGACTTCTGCCATTATTACTTCATTTGCTGTATGCTATTGTCATGTCCAAATTTCAAGGAACCATTATAGGTGACAAGACTGGTCTCAAATACTTTGGGTCCCACATCACAGGTGTGCGCGCACGTATATTAGCTCCGTATTCTGTCCCTTTCTTAGTCTAATATCCTAAAGATCCACACCCATATATATTTTTTGAGTCCTGTTTGTACAAGTCAGCCAGTTCCTAAAATTTCTTTTGGGTGTAGGCAATTTCCTCCTGCAGTAGGGATTATAATTTTCCACTCAGGCTCTTCTGGGATCTGACCACTAGCACCACCTGGGAAAGCCAATACACCACTGAATGCAGTTTAAGATTTCTTCACATTTCTTTTTAGTCCTCAGGATCTACTCACTTAAGGACATACTGTCAACATCCTGTTTTATAGTCATTTGCAACAACTCTTCTTTGGGTAGCTAAACCACCTATCTAATATGCCATGATAATTATGAGTTTCCATTTTTCCAACTTTTATAAATTTCTTCATCTATAATTTTATTTCTATTTACAGCATTTACATGGCTTCAAAGTTAAAACTATACAAATTACATGCTATTAAGTCTCCATTAGGCTCCATCTTTGTCCTTCTATCCTGTTCCTTCTCTCTCCTTAGAGGTCCCCCACTTTTATTGGCTTATTCTTCCATTATTACCTTTTGATAAGATAAGAATATATGTTTCCACATTCATATTCCCCCTTTCTTAAATAAAATATGACATACTATAATTTTCTAATTTTATATTTTCTCTAATTTTCTCATCCTAACACAACATCCTGGGCACTATTTCATGTAAGTATGTAGAGAGCCTTCTCACTTAGTTTTTTAGCTGTGTGATACTCCATTGTATGGTTGCATCACGATTTATTCAACCAGTGCCCTCGTGATGGACATCTGGATTGTTTCCACCCTCTTACTATTGTAATTACTGGCAGTGGATATCCTCTACTGTGTCACTTTATATTTTTACCAGTTTACTTTCTGAGATAGGTTCCTGGAAGTAGGATTGGTGTGTTAAAGGTTATGTGAATTTGTAATTTTGCTGGATGGTCCAAATTCCCCACCCTCCCCCCCATGGAGTTGTATCCTTTGCACTTTCACCAGCAATTTATGAGAGGACTTGTTTCCTGAAAGTTGTATTAACAGAATATGTTGTTGGAATATGGATTGTTGCCAATCTGATAGCTGAGAAGTGATATCTCAGTAGAGTGTTAACTTGCATGTTTCATACTCAGAGGAAGTTGAGTTCTTATCATATATTTGCACTGGGGTCATTGCATTTCCCCTCTGTAAAACCATTCATAAACTCTGCCCATTTTTCTGTACAGTTTTTGGTGTTTTTTCTCCTCAATTTTTAGAAGTTCTTTATGTGTTAGGAATATTTCCTTTAAGCTACTGCAATCAGTTTTTAAATTTTTCTTGTTACCTGAAGATGCTTTCCTACTCGAATACAACCATATTTTTCTATACATCAGGCTATTATAAACATTTGTTGAAATGTTTTTCTCTTCCACTAGGCGGGTCCAGAACATCGATTCTTTCACCCCAACCACTATCTGTCACATCTCTCATAGTTTTTCATTTCCCTCCTCCACGGTAGGCTCCTCATCCAGTGATGCAGCTATAAAAATGTAGGATCTGATGCAGCGCCTAATACTAGTTCCCCTGGAGCACAGGAGTTCCCAGGGGAGTAGAGGGAGAGGATAAGTAGCTCCATTTTTTTCCTTTCTTTCTTTGGAATGAGCACTCAGATTAGAAGGTGTCGCATGGTTGCTACAACTCTGTGCGCCCAGGAGATATCCAAAGAAACTGTGAACTGACTAGGATGTGTCCGGAGGCTGGGCCCTGCGCTGGCCTCCTCTGCTGCCTTGATGGTGTATCTTTACTGGGCTCCCATCCCCTTGGCCATGGAGATGGTAGGTCTTCTCTCCTGACCCAAGGGCAGCTCATGTATTTCAAGAATTGCGTGCATTGGCTCAGCTCACAGCTATGCTTATCATTTCATATGGAAGATGCCAGATTTAGAACCAACACCCATAGACTCTATCCTGTAAAAATGAAAGTACCAGCGCCAACGGATTTAAAATATAGGATATTTATTGCTACCTCATTTGTAGTGGCCAAA